TCCTCCAGAACCTCTCCCTCGTGAGTCATAACTTCCTTGGCCAGTTTGTGACTCTGAATTTGCATACATGAGCTTATCTTGCCCGGTAGTATGCTCTTCTTCTTCTTCTTCACGTGTTCGTTCTTCATAGGCCTTTAATCGTCCAACAATATCTTCAAAGCTAGTGGTTTTGAGGTCAAGGTTCTGTTCGAACGATGCAACAAGAAGAATGTATCGCTTCCGAGGCAAACCATGAAGAAGTTTCTTTATAAGCTTTGGTTCATCAATTGTTTCACCTAAGGTTGCCGATTTTGATGACAATTCAGTGATTTTTCCAACGAAATCATCAATAGTATCACTGTCCTTCATCTTCAACTTATCAAAATCAGAAACCAGAGTTTGTAGGCGAGCTTCTCTCACACGATCAGCACCCACATAACGAATTTTGATCGCATCCCACACAGCTTTTGATCCCAGGATCGAAACCTGGCTCTGATACCAAATATTGTTTTAGAAACCTTAAGAACAAGAGATCAAGAATATATAAAAGACACCTTTCTTTTATTGCTTTAGAAAATAACTCAAAACTAAAGCTCTCACAAATCTCTCAATCTCACACACTAAAGTCATAACTCGACTTCTCTATTTATATAAAACCAAAACCACCTAAGTCCTAATCCAAATAGGACTTTATAAAACCATAAAACCATTAACCCTAATCCATATCTCGGTAGGATTATAATAACTTGTCCTTCAAGTCTTCGTCTTCTTCAAGCTTAACTCAACAGCAACTTCATTATAAGTACTTCTCTCAGCCAGCTCTTCAAGAGGGTATCCTCTATAACGTAGGATTCCTTCATCTCCATCAGTGATAGAAATGGAAGATCGAACAGGAGCAGTGTTTAAGTAACCAGGATCGTATAACTTAAGCCCCTTGTCACCTTTTCCTGTCGTTATCTGCATGCAAACTCATTTATGAATCTCTTCGTAGTACTAAGTAAAGGCCACAGTAAAGAAATGGTGTATTCATTTTCACAATTCACTTCAGAATAACCAGTCGTTAATTATATACCTTCTTGAGATCAACGGCTTTGACGGTACCATCATCTGAGACTGGTACTTGATATTTCTTTCCAGTACGTTCATCCACGATGGTCAAGTACCCCTTAAGGGAACCATACGGTGCAGCACCCGTGTGAGCCGATGTGCACCATGGCTCGATCGCCGGCAACACTTGCTCCAAACCGACGGTATCAGACACCGCCAAGTGAGCAGAGAGAACGGCTAATCGAACGTTAGCTCTCTCCATTTTTCACCTCAAAAGATCAGAGAATTCAAAGAAAAAAAAAAGAGAGAAGCTAAAAAGAAACCAAGTGGCTGTAGAGTGAAAAACTGATGTTATGGACCTTGTTATTTTATAGTGGCCAAGTATTGATAATTGAACAAGTGTGTAATAATTTGTTTTCACTTCCGTTACACATCTACTGTTTTTTTTTTTTTTGGTCTTCAGTCAGAGTTTTTTTTTGGCTTTTAACTATCTAAAGTCTTAAAGTCTGTGACAGTTATGTGTTTTATTTTGGTTGTATCTTACTTTATTCTTTCTCGTTTCTAGTGTCACGTTTCTCTCCAGGCTTTCTTATTGTAACGCCAATTTTGTGTTTGTTCACGTTTCTCACAATCGACTTCCTTGTTTTTAAGTGGAAAACATATTATTATGATAACTCCAAAGCAAATTAGAACCTAGAGTGCAAACAAATCATTTATTTATCTTTAAGAAAAGAAGATTATTTCGAAGATTCAGGGATTAAAATCTATGCTAATTCTATGATGCAAGAGCATGTTCAATAGTAACATTTTAATGGAGGTTTAAAACAACTAATTATGATATTTTATGCAAAAATGATTATTAGACGAGGTCAAAAAAAAAGTGATTATTAGACATAGTTCTTAATTATTTGATAAAATATTTTATTAAACTTAATTATTATATTTTAAGATCTATTAACACTCATAAAACCACCATTGTACATAGTCTATATCAAAAATAAAATAAAATAATAATACTCTTTTCGTTTCACTTAAAAAGTGATGTTTTAGCTAAAAATATTTGTTTTATTATAAGTGATGTTTTCAATTTTCTATACAAAAAATAAATGTATTTAATATTTTTTGATCAATCATTGTTTTACATAATATATTTTTATTGGTTAAATTTATTTTAATAAACGATATTTTTATGGAAAATAAGTAAATTATATGTTTTCTTAATTTGTGTGTAGAAACCGTAAACATCACTTAAAAATGGAGAAAGTAATAGATATTTAATAATTTCAAATATTTTGTTGTTTTAAGTTTCGCCGACAAAAAAAATAAAAATTCAACTCCCGCCGACAAAGAAAAGATTTGAACGACAAAGAAAAGATTCATCTTCGAATCTTGCATTGCATCTTTAGTTAGTTATCACTTGTATATATAAGAATCTGCATTACATATCTGTACTTTTTAGATATAATATTCAGTCAATTCCAAAGGATATACATATGATTTGTATTTTGTAGGTTAACTTTTTTGTCAAACCAATGTGTTAAAAAATAAATCTTTAGTACAAGAACAATATCTTTCTTTTGAATTTTCCTGTAATAAAAGCGTCATTTATCAATTATAATATATGTCTTCAGTCTTCCCTATATCAACATTATTACGAAATCATAATAATTTTTAAATAATAGACAATCAATAACAATGTGATGTATTATTAACTGTTTAGATTATACGAAAGAAAACAACACAGAATGTTGAGAAGACTCTCTTGTTTGGCCAGAGGTTTCCAATGTTTTCTTCTTTATTGGTGTGTAGTCGTAGAAGCATGACTGAGACTAAAGCGCCGAAGATCCAGCTAAGCGCCTTCTGGATGCATTCGAAATGGAAACTTGACCAAATTTATCCAAATTCGAATCACTTGATAACGTTCGTTCTCTCACTGGTTCGTAATGCCTTAGCCACACTCCAGTATAGGCCTGTGCAGCCACACAATACAATGAGCCATGAGTCAAAAAGAAAATGTATTCATTTATCAAAAAAGTGTATGTAGCTACATGTATTGTATTCAACCTGTTGGGGTCTCATTATCTTAGTGTCAGGATCATCTAACGACTCACGCCAGTGCGACAAGTATCCAGCCATACGCGGGACTGCGAATAGGACTGTGAAGAATTCTGGTGGGAATCCCATTGCCCTGTCGGTTTTCCCATTTCAATTCCAACACACAAGATTCAGGTAAAGAACTTAATATTTTAAGGGTTTCTGTCAGATGACTCCGCAGTGTCTTACCTATAGATTAATCCAGAGTAGAAATCAACATTTGGGTACAGCTTTCTCTTAACAAAATATTCATCAGAGAGTGCCGCTTTCTCTAAAGCAACTGCTACCTGAAACATCATCCATCATATAGTTTTTAAACATCATCCATATACTAGGAGAGACAAGTGAGCACAAGGATCTACAGTACCTCGATGAGAGGATCTCTACCAACAATGGAGAACACTTCATCTGCCAGTTTTTTTATGACTTTTGCTCGGGGGTCGTAGTTTTTGTAGACACGATGTCCAAAACCGGACATCTTCCTCTTTCTGAGAACATGGAAAAGGGATAAAACATTAGTGGCATGACTCATCACAATTCAGATAACTTGGTGCTTGTAGTTCTTCAACATTCAGTTACCTGTTCTTCACACCTTCGATGAAATCTGGAATGTTTTCAACTGTCCCAATCTCTGCTAACATCTTAAGCACAGCCTCGTTTGCGCCACCATGAAGTGGACCATAAAGCGCACCAACAGCTCCAGCAACAGCGGTGTAGACATCAACACCACTGCAGAAACACAACACTGATTTAAACACTCTCATAGCAGTTTGAATGAATATCTCTAACCAGTTATAAGTACCTAGAGGCAAGATGCCGAGCAGCAGCAGTAGAACAGTTCATTTCATGTTCAGCATGCAGTATGAAGAGGATGTCCAGCACTCGAGCCAAACGAGGATTAGGCTTGTAAGACCTATTGCCCCTGTAATTAATGGAAGATCAAAGAATGTATCCTGTTACAGACACATTAGAAACTACAAACAGATCTAAACTGACGAAAGCAGTGCAATTTTATGACTAGCCTCTTCAAAAGCAAGTGTTTAATCAAACAAAGATCAAAAGCAACTGTTTAATCAAACAAAGAGAGAAAAAAGAGGGAAAGTACATTGAATCCAGCATATAGAGGAAATTCTCTGCATAAGAAAGATTGCCTGAAGGAAGAACAGGAGGCCTGCCTGCTGTCCTCAAATAAGCAGCTGCTGCAATTGTTGGTGCCTGAAAACATGTCGTAAATCTTTTTCTAGTCCCGGAACTAATTCACAGATACGTAAACGAAACAAAAAAAAAAGACACACAGTACCTTTCCGAGAATACGAACAATCTGTTTATCACGAACTTGTTTTGATTTGTAAATATCTTGGCCCTGCACCGAATGAGAATTTCTGTGAAATCAAGAACTCAAACAAATGGATATTGATATAGACATTTTCAGAAAAGCACATCTTAACAGTACCAAAGAAACATGATTATAAAACTTACACTAAGAGCAGGATTTGCATCAGGATGAAAGATAGAAAGTGCACTCATAGCACTCACAAGAACGCCCATTGGGTGTGCATCATGAGGCATGGACTGTATAATATCCTGTGAAAACGTTCAGAAATAGTCTTAGGTGAAATTGCTGTAAAACTCATAATCAAAATTCTTTTCATAAAGATGTAAAGCATATACCACATAATCATATTTTACAATGGTGAGTAAGACACAAGCCAATATCCTTCATGGATCAGGCAAACATGGTTTTACAAGCAAGACAGACAATTTATACATCACAAGAAAAGAAAAGGAAAAAAAAAACCCTCTTTGGTTTTTGAGATGAAAGATTTTGAAAATTTGGAATTTGCACGAGTTTGAAAATAAATGCGAGGAAAGAGTAGAAATTCACCAAAACTCCTTGTGGCACAGCTGAATGCTGAGAAACCGTAAACTCCCAATCAGCTAGCTGACTCTGAGAAGGCAGACTCCCATACACTGCCAGAAAAAAAAAAAAGTATATTACCCCACAAACACGACGAGACTAAGGGAGACACCATATCCAAGACATACCCACAAAAGATGATAACTTTCAATCCAATACTATGATCAAAAAAATTGCCTGTTAAAAAGCACGCGCCCCAAAAGTGAAATAAGTAACAATACTGATAAGATACGAGATGGTCAAAGACTTACTGAGGAGATAAGCGACCTCAATAAAAGTACTGCTCTCAGCCAATTCTTCGATCGGGTATCCCCGGTAACGTAGGATACCTTCATCTCCGTCGATGTAACAAATCGAAGATCGAACAGGAGCCGTGTTCAAGTAACCAGGATCATATAACTTAAGCCCCTTGTCATCCTTCCCCGTCGTTATCTGCACACCAAACATGTAAATCCATCAAATTACTTCCCAGATTCATTAAAACAATTGGTCAAATTTCAGATAACAAAAGTCAACCACTCATATACTCAATTTCACAATTCCGTCACATACCTTCTTGAGATCAATGGATTTAACAGTACCATGCTCTGAGACAGGGACCTGATATTTCTTGCCCGTACGCTCATCGACGATCGTCAAGGTTCCCTTAAGCGATCCATGCGGTGCAGCAGTAATGTGAGCCGATGTGCACCATGGCGCAATCGCCGGTAACACCTGTTCCAATCCGACGGAGTCAGACACCGCCAAGTGCGCAGTGAGAACGGCTAATCGAGCTTTAACTCTCTCTGAAATCTCCATTTTTTTCACCTCGATTAATTTAAAAAAAAAATCAGAATTCAATTTCAAAGAAACGAAGCTAAGCGAAGGGAAGAAGAAACAATCTTTGACAAGTAACTTTGCTTTGTAAATCCTTCATTTCCTAATTTTGGTAGTAGCTGAGCTGGTTATTCTCTGCAGGTAAGAGTACTGAAAACGGACACGCGTTATCCAAAGATCGACGGTTATAACATGATTCAGCTTAGATCTACGGATAGCATTCTTCGTCGACGGAAAGTTCAAAGAGGCTTCTCTGTCAGTATTATCCTGGGATTTGGCTTTCGTTTCTTTAATCCACGCGTAGAAGGGCGGTGAAGGCTACTCGCTCGAAATGAGGGACAAGTGTCGAATAACATGAGCGAGTGAGTGTCATACGCTCTGTGGATCGAGTAGAAGTCGATTGGAGTCCTTGGCTTGCTAACTAAATTATCTATTCGTTCGATAATGGGCTAGTTCATTTGTCTCCTCAAGCCTAGAAATTTTGCAAAGTATATAGATCAGCCCATTAGTTATTTTATGCCTGCGATC